ATAGCGCAATTCTTCAATGAAAGCGGACACACATTTCAAATCTTAACAAGTACCATCAAATTAGCTTCTTAAAAGATGATCCATTACACTCTCAGAGCATACAAACATCCCATTTTCCACTTAACATTATCGATTTTTTCAAACATTCTTAATCTGATTCTAGGAGGAAAAATGCTTTCCTTCACACCTCCAGAGCATCTTTCCACATTTTGGGGGGCCATGTATGACACTTCTATAAATGTGTTCAAATCCACTGTCTATGTTTCTACTGACTGGCGTCCTCTCATTCACTCTTATTTGCTCATTGCTCGGTCCCTCCCACTGATGTTAGTTGAAATCACTCCTTCAAAATGTCCATCGTTTGCCCTTCGTTTCAGGGAACAGCATCATCCAAGGACACACCAGCTTTATTAATTAACATAAGCTTTCCATGTTTTCACACGTTGGCAGGAAGGAATAAAAGACATCTATCCACTACTGATGCCCGGAGTCGGCAGCTGCAGCAGTAACGCCCGAATCCCAGGAGACACGACTCAGCGGAAAGCATCACACCACAGCAGACACAGCCATGAAGTTACTTGCTTCACTTGAATAATTTCATGTGTAAACACAGCAATAAGAACCACAGCACACCTCATCACACTGTGAGCAGCGTTAAAGAGACAGAGCCGTAAATTCTCACAAGAAAATTTAAAAATAAGTCCAGAGAACACTCTCATCGTTCTCTGTAAAGTTATCTGGACATAAAGAAAACTAAAATAAGATGTACAAAAAGTGACAAGAGTTCGGTTAGAATGGTGAGTTTGGGGGATATTTCTTTGAATTCTCTAAGTGGCATTTTAATTTTGTCATCTAAAAGTTAAATTTTAATTCTGAAATTAGAGAATAGTGATGGTTACATAACTCCATGAACATACTAAAATACAGAATTGTACACTTAAAAATGGTAATTTTGTAATATGTGTATTATATCTCAATAAGGTTATTTTTATAAAAGTAAAAATTATAAGTTAAAGGATTATACTGCGGGGACAGGAAGTAAACGGGAACTCTGTGCTCAGTTTTGCTGTGAACCTAAAACTGCTCTAAAAAGTAAAGTTTTTTTTTTTAAGAACTACGGTTCATTCTTTGTTAATCTTCCACGAATTTTATGTTGATGATTCTGGAGGGCAGTAGAACACACAGGAGCTGCAGCAAGGCGAGCCTGTCTGCAACCCGTGTTATTGGTGTCGATATCTGATGAGCAATCGTAAGTGGCTTGTTAGAGTAGCAGTGAAAGGAGTGTGAGCATATCCAAAACCTCCCGGATGATTTTTTTTTTTTTTATTCTGGAACAATTATAGACCCTGCGTAGGGGGATCCACACTCCCACTGTGATTATTAGAATGAACAGTGTTAACACTGGAAGAGAAATATCCATTCCTTTCTGTTCTGGCTCAGCGCTGGGGCCCCGGCTGATAATTAATGAAAATTTCATTGTGTAGAACTATTTCATAGAAAAAAATTGTTCTAGGTTAATTAAAAGCCCACAGACGATAAATGAGTTCCATTTCTCACTAGTGTAATGTGATGGATGAGAGCACTCTGGGGCTGGCTGTTCTTTCAGAACTTTCTATCTAAGCACTTGGCCAGAAAGAAAGGGCTTGCGGCAAATACTGCATCTAGAACGCTAACGAGAAGCCAGAGTAACATCAAGACATTAAGTAACCCTCTTACATTACAATGAATTTGGTAAAAATAGACTTCTGAATGTTTTACAGTTTCTACTCTTTGGAAGGAAATAAAAATACAATCCATCTTTATTCCTAAATGATGGTCGGGAAGAGAAGGATATTATTGTGTCAGAGAAGTCTGGTCTGTGGGAAGAGCTACTACCCCCAACTTGGGATCATAAAAGGCAGAAGTTTAGCTTTCAGTGATGCGAAATCTGTTCCTGGAAGCTCAGGGGAGAGAACACTTCTTTTTGGAAGGAAACTTAAAGAGTTTTTAGGGCGTGAGGAGTAAAACACACCCATGTTGTTAGACTGCAAAGGAAGGACATAAAGAAATGCCAAGGAATCTCCAACCAAGCCTGTTGCTCACACCTACACCGCCATGCTGCTAAAAGCATAGCAACGACCTAAACAATATCTGTGACAAAATTTCAGCACCTCTTTGACTTGTACTTTGCTACCTCGATGGTCTTTTTTGGGCCTATTTCTCCTCACTCAAGGAGCTGCTTTTTCAGGTCATCTTCCCTGAAAAGGACAGTGTAACTTAGGAGGAGCATCTGTGACTGGAGGCAAATATCTTTAGGATGTGTCGTGCATGCGATGCCTCAAGCTGTCCTCCCCCAAATGCCTCTATGCTCTGAAGAAGCTGAGAGGGAGCCCACCAAAACACAAACAAAACCCAGAAGCTGATAAAATACAAGGGGATCCATCTGAATGAAAAGCACAGGAAACATTTGACTGAACCCAAGCAATCAGGTTCAGCCTACTCGGATTATACTAAATTTGAATTATCAATCACCACAACAAAACTGGTACCCTAAGGTTAATACCTGGGTCTCATTTTAAAGTATATTATTTTTTTCTATGCCATTTATTTTCCCTTTCAACTTTATGGGCGTGAATCTATTCTGCCTTTTTATTTTTAAGTCAGCATTGGGAAGGGACAAATGGTCTTTTCTATCCCGTGGATACTAAAGAACGTGGCTCTAAGGAAAATAATATTTGTGAAGGAAAATTAGAGCACAGTGCCTGGCACACTGCAGGTAATAAATGTTCATAAGTAGAGAAACAGAGCTCTGCTTATGAACGTTTTATATATCTACCTCTTCACAGATACTAAGTAGTTCAGCCCTTCCTTCCTTCCTTCCTTCCTTCCTTCCTTCCTTCCTTCCTTCCTTCCTTCCTTCCTTCCTTCCTTCCTTCCTTCCTTCCTTCCTTCCTTCCTATTTCCAGTCTAAATACTACCCCCTACCTCATCCAAGAAACAGATAGGAATGCTTGCTGTATTACAGGAGAGTAGGGACAAGACCATTATGGATCTGTTTCTTCCCTGATTAAATACGAGAGTCAACTTCTATCACCAAAGACATATGACAACACAAATTCCCTCAGGAGAAAGTGGTCGATGGGCTGCAAAATTTCTCATGCCTCAAATAAATGACAACTTCACATATATGGCAGGTGTACTATTACATGTATGGCAGTATGCATAGTTTTTTCCCTAACCCAAAATGAGATCTGGTTCACTTGGAGTTTAGATAAGAGAAACTTGAGGAGTCAATTCCTTTATACCCCAAACAACAAATAACTGTAGAAGTGTGTAGATGAATCACACAGCAAAGTAAAATTGTGATTTCCAGTTAGGGAAAACAAGAAGTAACGTAGTCAAGGGAATCATCTGAAGAAGATGAATAAAATATATTTCTTTAAAAAATTCAACCTACACAATAAGGAAACAAGGAGAGCTAACAGACTTTGTAACCTCCCTAGACACGCAGTAACAACCTCACAGTGCGAGTCACATACACTGTTGGCCGAAGGTGTGTGTGGTGAGCTGCAGGGGAGGAGGGGAAGGGATGCTCACTGCCACTGTGGGGTGCAGAATGTCTTCCAAAGCTCTCGTGTACCCTAACTTTGATATGTACTTTCCAGAAGAGATGAGTGTAACATCCAAATAAGCTACTTTCAAGCTACTATTTTAGTTTTTCTTTCTATCAAATTTATTGGGGTGACACTGGTTATCAAAATTATATAGGTGCAGGTGTGCAATTCCACAGCACATCATGTGTGTTCACCACCCTAACCTACTAGTTTTTCTAAAGGGAGAAAAACTGCTCTGCATAAAATAAAACAAAAGTATATGACACCCAGGAAATTGGCCAGTAAGAATGAACCAGTATACGTGTATCTCTTCACCTGTGCCAAGAAAGTGGGGTAAATCCAATCACTGAGAGCTTCCATGTAACTCATTTGGAGGAACTTTGAAATAAAAAATTGAAATGGGAATTTAAAATCAAAATGTTCTGATCAGTAGTGATAAAAATATGTATTGTAGGGCTTATTCAATGCACTACATTATAATTCTCATTTATATGGTATTGTTAGAGGATGAGGCTAACTAAATGTTATCCCTACCAGTATCAAAAAATTTAAAAACAAAAAAGCATTTTATTTATTCTTGTATTATCATTTATTAATTTAAACCATGTTTTTATTGTTTACACTAGTATGAATGCTCCCATTTCCCCCACCTTTACCTGCTTCCCCTTTCTATACTAGATTACACAGTGAGTAGAATCTAAACTGTTCTTGATGTTTCAGGGCTATTACTATGAAGCTTAGATGTGATAAAATGGTATCTTGAGGGGAAACTGGAGTAGATAGGATAACCTGTCCCAATGAATGGCCCTTCTGCCTTAAAGCCTGTTTGTGCCTGTTTTAAAGTAAGTATTCTGAGGGGGGCGTGGGAAGATCTGGGTGCTGGCGCATTATAGAGGTCACCCAGTCTTGGACGTGTGCACACACTTATCACTGGTCTGGTATGACCACCCCCTGCCTTCACACAAGTCACTGCCATCATTCTTTCCCCACATCACTGACCGTTCCATAAAACTAAACAAAAATAATAAATAAATAAAACAAGCATTCTGCCTCCTTCTTTCACGTCTTTAACTGTCACTTCTTATTAGGTTGGTGAGTCTGATTCTCATAATTCCTCCTTTCTAATTTAGCACAGGCTTATTGTACCTGTGACATAAGAAACTGGATAATCAAACCTGAAAGAATTATTTGCATACAGAGAATTTCCAAGTGCAGAGCGGAAGCCTAATATGCTTCCCCCATGAGTTAGGATGAATGGTATCTGTTCGAGCTGCCTCTGCTGCACCCAAACAGTGGAAGTCAATGCACAGTTATTTATGGTTAAATCCAGTATTTTTGTACACTAAAAACAACAGGGAAAAGACGGCTTCTGTCTCTTTAATGTGCAACTCAGAGTTTGTACCATACCTGCAACATCAGCACCCAGAGCCTCATTATGGACATTCTGTGTAAGTTTAATTTCCTCCATGGCCATGGTTTTGTTAAATGTTACTGAAATAAAAAGCACAGCATGCAATCTATGAGCATAAAGCTTACGAAATAGGCGGGGGGGGGAGTGCCCCACACTTACATGATCAATCCTGCCCTACACGTTCCACTTCAGTAAAAGAAAGCACTTTATCCTTCAGCCTGTTGATGCATATAATATGTCATAAAATGGAAGAGATGGAGGAAACAAAGTGCTACCTGTAATAAAACACTAAAATTATTATTACATTTCACAGTCTATAAAAACTGCACATTCACTGAATTACAGTCTCCATCAAAATCGCTGACCCCGGCAGTGGAGAGAAATTGACTGTATTCCTCATGCCTGAAAAGGAAAGGCAGGATTAGCTCAGTGTTAACAGAGTCGAGGTTTATACTGGACGCAACTGTGTAATTCCCAAACCGTGCACAAGAAAAATGTATCACGCCAGACTGACAACCCTTTCATATCTCATTGCTTCTGCTTCAAAATGCTCTCAAATATCCAAAGATTTGTATTCTGTTACTACAATCTAATTTTTCATAGTATTTAGGATAGCATAATAGGTTTACATCATCATAATCAGAATTCTTTTCTTTCTGCCTTATTTTTCAAGTAATTCTAAATTCTGTTCAGCTATTTATTCTCATAGAGGTATTTTTGTTTTTTTATAGAAAGAATACCCTGCATTGACAAACTAAGGCAAAAAAAACCCTTCTGAAACATTCAATTTATATAAGGTCCATTTTTATCCTCCTGTTTTGCCAGGTGTAACACATTTCCATTTTAAGTTCTGTTTCTTCAGAAAAATTAAATTCCATGTGCTTTCCAGCTTATGCCCAGAGGTTCCTTTGGGATCCATCTTCCTACTCAGTATAATCACCTAAGTTGTCTTAATACCACCATGCCATCATTTTAAACCTTTTTCTACCTTTTCAAGTTACATTTTTGAAGCATTCATTTCTCTGCATTTCTGTAAGTTTTCATGTTTTGATCTCTGTCATCTGTATCGTTTTTATCAGCTCTACAACATCTTGCCATGAAATGTCTGTGCATCTTTTCCCTACATATTTATAGCCATGTGTTGAATATGCCCCCTTCTGTGTCTTGAAACGCCCACATTCTGCCACAATGGCCACATTAAGTAAGCTCTATGTCCTCCCTGCTTCCACATCACAGAATGAAATATTTCCTTGAACTCAAAATATCCTTCTCACGACCTGTTCCTTTCTAAGGTCTTATCCTTGGAATCATACCACTCATGAAAAATCTCAGATAGAAGGATGAAAATAAATACTTTTCTTATACCTTTTATCAGCATTATAACAAAAAGTCTCTTCCTTTGAAACTTCCTAACTTTACTACTTTCATCCTTCTTCTAATGTTATTAAATTTACTGCTATGACAATTCACATGGTCACAACACAAATGTCCTCTCTCCACTGAGACTCGGCCAGATCTGAGAGGTTCAAACCACTGGAAGAGGCCAGCTGACTCTCAGAGAACGATCCCTTTTCCCATGTTTTCACTTCTCATTTTGAAACATAAGCTATAATATTATAAGCTTATAATATCATAAGAAGGAATGGATCCTTCTTTAATTTTGATTCTTTTAACATATCTCTTAGCTGCTTAATTATTCTGTTAGTGGTAACCTGAATTCCATGATCACTGAAGAACTGGAGGTTTTGAAGCTTCACTACTCTTTTATTAATCAGTTATCACTGTCATATTGCTATGAATGTCACAATATCACTTCTGAAAGCGATTCCCTGGGCCTGACTTACAAACGTCCTTTATTAGGCTGCTCTGAAATAAGTTACGTGTTTTATTATAGGATCTATTGCCACTGTATTCTGCAAAGTACTGCCTGTAGATCTGTCTTTTATAATTTATGCATCTGATCATGGCATGTTAGCAAAGAGTTGGGAAAATAAAATATATCAATAGAGTTAGTTCATTGTATACAGGAATGTGTTTCATTTTATGCCTCTCCACACTGACTTTTACAGCGCTTGTATTGGTCTGTTTTTCCCTCTAATCCAAGCCATAAACTACTTACTGTGTGCCCAGAAAGTCCACTGTAAGTCATCATCTGTCCTCAGCAAATTTATAATCTCAACTGATGCAGGAAAGAATATAAAAAAATAGAATTTCTTCTCCCTGATTTTCTAAATAAAACACAGTAATCTATAAGCATTCTTGATTTAGGATTTGCCAATCTGATTATTTGCAAGTTACTCCCTGAGATGATGTATACAACAGCAGGCAGATAAGTAGCAATTTGCAATTTAGCTGAAGAATGATTCTCATTATTTAAATGAACATCTGAATCTCAATGTACTTTTGTTCTTCTCTACTCTTAGTGCATATGTTTCTTTGGTGAAAAATTATATGATGTAGTGAGTGAAATGAATGATTTGGGAATGAAGAAAATATCAGGATGTGTCCTTTGAATTCAACAGTCTACTTCGTATCGCACTTTTTAATCTTTCTTTTCTCATTTACCCTTTCTCTTGTCGGTTTCTTTTAAACAATTCCTTTCAAATGAATCAGTGTTGTGATGTGCAGCAAGGGACTAACTCTGCAATCATTTTACCTGGTGCTCAATGAACATGACAGCAACATGCCACGCTCTGTGCTACGGTTGGGGACTCCAAGATTAATCAGATGCTGGCCCTGCTCTGGAGGAACTCAGTTTTCTGAGATACTGTTGTCTGTGTCTCATGAAGGGAGGTTGATACTCTCAATCTTGTACCACTCCTTGTTACTGTCTGATATTATAATTCTCTGTGGAATTTCAAAGATCTTTTATGCTTACAACTTGTAAGCTAACAGTTTTTTTGAGACTGGCAAAAAGTCTTCTCATTCTACTTATTTGAAATCAAGTATCTTCCTTAGATTATTCTGTTTCCTCCGCATAGGGACAACATTCACGTTTTTAATCTTTCCCAAAGTCTTTTAAAACATGACACCTGTCAGAAATTAAGGCATTTTTCTATCCTTTGGTCTGCTTTCTTCTCTTGTTCATTTTTCTATTCTTCCTCTTAGTCAACCTCTTTCCACAAGTCTTCACATTATTAGCCTCCTCACATGTTGTGCTTTGTTTCACGTTAACACTTGTCTCATGCCCTCCTCGCAGGCTCCGCTGCTGGAGAATGTTGTTCAAGTCCACGGGTCAGTGGGCATGACATGGTGGAAAGTGAGACCACCAGCGCAGCGTGGCTTCTCGAACAAAGAGTAAAAACTTATTACAAAAATGATGAGTTTGCTCTTATTCCGATGTATAGTGGGTTAACATTTATATAGACTTTAAAAGGTCTTGAAAAACTGACAGAAAAAAAATCCTACCGGGCATTTCTACACAATTTCCACACGATTTGTCTGACGTATTGTGAAAACAGGACTGTACATCCGAGGCTGTGAGAGAAGCGGGGTGAGGCAGGGTTGTGTGCAGGAAGGCCATTAGTGATCTTTACTGTTACGACTGCTGAGGCTGCCATAAAAGTTTATAGTTATCCACAGTTGTGTATCGGATGTGCATTTGTTTTGCCTCACAGATTGGAATTATCTACCCTTATAAATAATGATATAAGTGGGGGTTGTGGTGTTCTACCCAGATCCCTCATTGAGGAATGAGAGAAGGGCTTCTTTCCCTGACTGCTGCAGAACGCATGTCCTGGGGGAGGTAGAATACCGGTCCGGCAGAGTTGGCCACCTTCTAATCCCGGGAAACTGTGACTATGACAAAAGGACTCGGCAGATTCAATTGCGTTAAGAATGCTGAGATGGGAAGATTATCCTGGATTTTCAAGGCAGACCCAACAAAATCACAACCATCCTTTTAAAGGGGAGGCACTCATGTCAGGAGTCACGGGAAGAGATACAATGACAGAAGCTGAGGTCAGAGAAAGAGAGAGATTAGAAAATGCTACATTGCTGGCTTTGAAGATGGAGGGAGGGGCCACAAACCAAAGAGAACAGTGGCCTCCAGAAGCTGGAGAAGGCAAAGAAAGGGATTCTCACCTCAAGTGTCTAGAAGGAACCCAGTGCTGCTGACTCATTTTAGACTTCTAGCCTCCAGAACTATAAGATAATAAACTTGTGTTGTTTTGAGCCACTAACTCTATAGTAATTTGTTATAGCAGCAAACAGAAGACTAATACACACCCTGAAAAAAATCGTCAAGGCTTCTATGGTCAAACAACTCTGGGAAGCATTATTCACTATCTTGCCTTCTCAATGCCTACAGTTTGAAAAGTCCTATAGTAAAGAATCCTGTTTAACTTTGTTTAAATTACCATTGATATTTTAAGGACTATCTTTTAACACTCCTCAGAGTTACTGTTCTTGGAGCCTACTTTAGGAAATGGTGGTTTAAGGCTTTATGTTATGGATGTCAGAAATGAATTACGAAAGGGCTGGCATTTGAATTCGTCCTATACGCACGACTAGGCTGTTGATGAGAAGAGAGGGAGGGAGGGCAGTCTGAAACCACAGCAGCAGGACGAACAGCCTCATCTAAAAGGCACCACCCAGCTCAAGAAGTAAGTTTTTCCCAGGATTCTAAATTTGGGTTCCAGTTCCAGAAAATTATTAAGTCCCACAAACACACAAATATTCATCACAAATAAAAACAAAAAGATACACAGATGCTTTTTGAAATAACATAAGTATATATAACCAAATACTTAATATTCAGTCCTTAAGTTCAGTCTTAATGCTCCTCTTGGGGGTATTTTTCTGCAAGGAAAGGACTTTCTAAGGTGCTTTTTCCTTTTCCTGGTAAATCTTCCCGTGGTAAGTACAGCTTTCTTCATAAATCCTTGGACCTCTGAACTTCAGTTTGGAAACAGAATGACCTATTTTAAAAAGTCTCAATGCCAATTCTATGTGCATGGCTGAACCCAAAGACTTGGCTTTAACAGCAAATGGCCAAGGAACTGTGCTGACATGCGCTTCCTGTTTGGAGTCAGCTGAGCCTGCAGGAGGGCAGAAACCGTCTCCCTGTTCAGACGCCCAG